TTGCTTAATACGATTCTTTTTATCTTTCAAGCATTTACAGATGACTATTTTTACATAGAAATAGTTAGTTAGACATTTTACTGTTTTTTTTTATGAGCAATAACTCACAATGAAATCATAATATTTTTTAATAAAGTTGTAAAACAGTCAAAAAATGAGTGATAAAATTAATAGAATAATATCCATCATTATGCAATAATAAGATATGATTTGTCATCCACAAAATGAAACACAGAAAAAAATTCTACCTCTGATTTGTTAAGTACTTCCAAAAAAGTTGAATAGCATATACAGTTCGCCTGAATTGAGTTTCCTATCTTTGTTTTTCTTGTTTAAACATACTGTAGTTTGATATTTTTTTAACGATAAGTGATATATATCGAGAAAGTACAGATTTCACTGCATCGCTTGAAATATTAATCATCAAGTTCAGACAACAAAAAATGCATCAAAACAAAAAGATGGAATATTTTTTTTACTACAATCTACAATAAAAGTAAATCGAGGTTTTGTCTCTCCTTTATTTTTGTACGTATGAATATATATGAGTCATACTCTTCTAATAACGTTTTTAAAAATGATTTGTCGTAACTAACGAGAGAACCACAACTCGAATTGATATTCGCCATTTCAGCTCATATTTGTATCTAAAAAGGTGTCTTGTTGAGATTAATAACCAGTCTAAAAGAGTTTGTTCCTATGCATTTTTGAGCAGAGTTATGATTGTTTTACTCAATTTTCGACGTATCATTTTGCTCATAGATACCTCTAATGATTCATAGAATATTCTAAACGTTTCAATCGAAAAGAATCTTCTTTTGTTGAGATATTGAATTTTCAAAAAATAATTATTTGCCACGGGTATCACACAAAAATCGAGTTTACTTGAATATTTAAGAGAGACCGCCAGAATACCGACCATGGTGGCGACGGAAAAATTTAAGATTTCGACTTTGATCATTTCATTCGAAAACCCATAGAAAATTACTTAGAAGACCAAAATATCAACTCATTTTGATTTATCTATAAGAAAATAGCAGGGTCTCCATTTTTTCGACTTCTCAGATCATATCCTAAAAATCGATTTTTTCAATCGTGGTCGTATTTTGCGATTTTCTTCTTCATCGTTTGACATTTTGAAGTGCGGAACGTCTCAAATGATAGAGAATGAAATTCTCTACAAAATAGCCTATTTCTATTATTTTCTTAATGCAATTTTTTATGAGAAAGGAATCAAATTTGAAAAAAATTAAATGTACAATTTCAGTCATCAAATTTCAGTGCCATGGACGAATGTTCTATCAAAGTAAGAGATTTCAGGCTGAATTTTTAATATGTTGTAGCCCTGCTCCCGGCTCATCTATTGATATATTTCCTATTGAAAAAATTCATCAGAAGGTGCTAAAAATTTCGTCACAAAAGCTCGAATATAGCATTATATTACTCTCCTAACATAGGACTAATGAATTATTTCGTGAATACATCCAGAATGTATTTATTTGAATAGTTTGAAGTTTTATAATCGAAAAGACAATATGAAAACTGATAGTTCGTGATAAATTCGACGAATCATTGAACTGATTACTGTTGAGTATTTCTTGTCATATAGTCGGTTTTCTGGCGGACTCTCTCTTAACCGATTATGAAACAAATCAGAATCAAAGTGTTAGACGAAAATTAAAAAATGTCACTACAAAAAAACTAGATGATCAAGTGTACGAATGGTTTGTACAGCAACGTGCAAAAAAATTAGTTCAAAAACAAAAAGAAAAACAATATTAGAGGATATTTTTAAAAACAATTAAATTTTGTGTTGTACTTGAAAGGGTGTGAGCGTGAGTGTGAGTGGTGATGAGTGTGACTGTGTGCGTCGATTCTATTTGAATCCACTCAAATCCACACCTACACCCACACCCTCCGATCTCGGTTTCACACATTTGTAGTGTAGCTTCCTAAATGAGATCTTTTCTATATTAATTGGCTTGATTTTCAGTATCATTTGGACAATAACCCTTTTGTTTTCACTCAACACTCTCGAGTGACATTCTTGTCTCCGATCCTCAGTCGAAATTAACTAACATCTTTCAAAACAGCTCTATCAAAGATTATTTCAACAATTGCTAATTTTTATATTTTCAACGATAAAATCTACAAAGAGAGAATTAATAACGTGCTCGAGTCGACTAGCTGATTAAATAACGTCCTGCGAATATCTAGAACAATGTACCTCTTTTTCGAAAAAAAGGCTGCTGCTTGGAAAATCATAGTCTCTCTATAGTGGACACCTCCATATAGTGGACACTTTTCAAAAGTCGGGAGGGTGTTCACTATAGAGAGGTTTTACTGTAGACTTACCACCTAATAGCCTTATACTCTTACAGCATTCCTCCCTCCTCCCGCCTTTATAGCCCATTCTCCCTTACAGTCTTACCGCTTTATATCCATACTCCTTTGTTACCTTCCCCTTTCTTGCCTTACTGCATTATAGCATTACCTCCTTATATCCTTACTGACTTATTCCTTTATAGTCTTACCTCTCATAATCTTGTCCTCTTATTGCCTGATTCTCTATAGTTTTATCTCCTTATTGCCTTACTTCCTTATTATCTTACCCTTTTATACTTTTCTCTCCTTATAGCCTTATCCCTTTATAGTATTATTCTCTTATTGTCTTACTTCGTTATATCCTCAACTCTTTGTAGAATTCCTCCTTATAGTCTTCTTTCCCTTATAGCCTTGTTGCGTAATGATCTTATACACTTGTTACCTTAGTCCCTTATTGTCTTTTTTCTTTAAAGCCTTACTCTCTTATAGCCTTATTCGACCTTTAACCTTTGACCCGAGACAGAGAAACACATACACACTGAGCATTATATATACAAATTGCCTTACTCCCCTCAGGGTTTATGAGTGCTCCAATATAATAGCCTTTGATGACCTATGGGTATCCCATATAATAGCCCTTGAGAAGACCTGTAGGTGCCCCCCATAGGATGGCCCTTGATAACTTATGGTGTCCCAAAATAATAGCCCTTGAGACTTATGGGTACGCCATAGGACGGCTGCTCAGGACCCAAGGGTACTTCCATACAATATCGCTTGAGGACCTATGAATACCCCCATAAAATAGCCCTTGAGGAGACCTATGGGTATCTATAGGATCGACCTTGAGGAACTATAGATATTTCCATAGGATAGCTCTTGAGAACCTATGGGTTTCCAATATGGGAACCGAAATGATGGGCACGAGGAACGATGAGCACGGAACGTTAAGCACGGAAACGATAAGTACGGGAACGATGAGTACCGACAATTTAAGCACGCAAAAAACCTGAAACTAAGCAGGGTGTGGATGGGTATCACGCGTAGGTCAAGAGTGAGTGTTAGTGAACTGCAGGGGACTCCGAAATCCGACTCCAGGAGAGTTGGGATCGAAGTTACAAAACCAGCATTTTACTGAATCACAGTCGGAGTTGGAGAATTTATCAAATTTTTGTCAAAACTTTTTTAGTTATTGCTTCTGCGATATCTAAAAACTAATCACTAAATTATGCAAACAAATTCTCGGAGGTTTTTGGATTCGGAGCCAAAAAAATTTTTAATGCGGAGTTGGCGTCAAAAATCTTTTTTCTATGTTCGAGTTGGAGCCGCAGCTTGAAAACTTTCGGAGTTGAAGTCGGATTTTGGGATCACAAAATTTGGCTCTGTAGTTCAGTAGTAGGTGTAGGTATGGAGCTGATATTAGATGGGCGTAGGGTGAAGAAAATGGCAGACTTCAAGCTTCATGAGATTTCAAAACGCTTGAAGAGACTTCAAACACAGATACTTGAAATTTTCAAAAGACGTCATGGAACTTTATGAGACAGAAGTCTTTGCTATTTCTCTCTCATGTGTGGCTATGGTTGAAGAAGAGATCAATACTTACATCCGCTCACACCCTTTTTAGTGTCATATCTTTGCGTGCTTAAAATGTCGGTGCTGAACGTTCCCGTGCTCATCATTCCTCATGCTCATCGTTCACCAATCATCCCAATATAGCAGCTCTTGGCGCCTTCCATTTATAACCTTATTTGATCTTTGACTCGGCACAGACACACCGAGCATTATATATATAGATTAGGATCCTCGAAATTTGTTTATTAGTAAACAAGAATGAGTGAATATTTGGATTTTCATATCAAAATTTTATAGATTTTCGAATGAAACAAACAAATTCTAAATTGAAAATTTTTTTGTTTAGTTTGATAAAACAGAAACCATCAACAGTTGATACTAAATAAGAATTCTAATGAATGCTTCAATTTTTCGTTGACATATTGGACACAATTCCAATGATCGCCCACACGAGCCACATGTGACTAGGTGACCACATGGAATACAAGCTAATCGTTTTTCCTCTGTCAGACACTCAGTACAGAAATCGAATCGTGCTGAAGTAACTGATTGATTTTGAGGATTGGCAGTAGCTGTTTGTTGAGTTGTTGTCGTTTCACGTTCATTACTACTGGTTGTTGATTTCGATGATGAATCAAGAAAAGATTGAGAAGATGTAAATTTATTTGTTAATAATTGAAATGATGTAGTCATTTCAGCATCAGTAGAATTTGATAATGATCGAGCTGTATTAAACTCGCTGTTTTGTTCTCTGATTTGTTTCATTTTTATGCTTGGTGTGACAATGTTGTCATTTTTACCATCCATGTGTTCAATTTGTTTTTGATGAATCAAACAAGCGATGTATAAATCACAATCAGATGCAAAATCATCGCCTGACAAAAATGTTGAAAAGATATAAAAGAAAATATTTTATTTAAGGGCAGTTTTGTTCCCTCAAAAATAAACTTTTTTTATTTTTCATCCGATTTCAACCAAGATTTCAGAGAATGTTAGTCTTGACTAGAATAGTTTATAAGTAAAATATTTTCGTAAATTTTCAAGATACACACGAGTTATAGTTAATTCATTGGTCAAATATACCTTTTACATGGGCAAGATTTTCAAAACGAGGAAACGAGGTAGTATCTCGAGGTGATTTTTAAATTGTAAAGTACAGTTAGGGTTAGATTGTAAGCTCGATTTTTAAATTTTTCTTTGTTTGTCTATTAAAAAAAAGCTCTAATTACAATCAAAAGATATAAGTTTTCATTTCTGCGGAAGAGAAATTCAAAAATCCGTCTCTATTACGGCCTAGCCCTAAATTTCTGTTGTGTAATAAAATAAAATTGCCACTTTCATATTGAGTTGTTATGCAGCAAAGTTTCCCCGCATGAACGGTACACTCGAAAAAACTGATTTCGAGAAAAACGAAAAGTAATGCTTTTAATTTAGTAAGTGTCTCTATTCGAAATAAGTCTGTTTATGTTCCCAACTATTTTCGTACTATTCTTCAAGTTTTATTAGATGATATATGTGTATATATCATAATGCTCTTAGAAGTACATATCATGCCAAAGTTCGGGTCATGGTTTCATATACGTAGATGTGGGGTGAGGTACGAGTGTGAGTGACAGCGAAAGTGAGACCTCTATTCTTTCCACAGCCCACATTCGTTAAATCATCATAGTCAATACCAACATCCACACGCACAATTCCACACCACAACTGTGCGGAATCAATTCAGCATCACCCAAACCTGTATGAAATTAACTTTCATGCTATAAAGCCATAAAAGTTTCCATACAATACAAGTTCATATTCTTCAGCCAGGAGATCTGTAGAAAAAAATTATCTGAAAAAAAGAACTTAACCTTGTTATTTTGACAAAAAGCTATGCGATCCTAAAGCCCATTACAAGAATTATCAGTACATATATAAATTTCAAAACCGAGTTTTTGCTGAAAAATTGACTTTTCTAAGGCGACCTTAATTAGCTCACCTTTAATCCGTAATTGATCTTTCCAACATCGTTTAATAATTGATAATTTAAAGTTTTGACCTAATAAACGTCGTGATATTGGTAAATCTAATCGAGCAGCAACAAGTCTCGATAAAGTACGTTCATCGGGTATTGATAATAGTCGACTATTGGATGTTGGATTAGTAGTTACCACCTCATCAGAACCTGTTCTTTCTTTTAATTCATTGGCACGA